AATGCTACTCCATACATGAGGTCACATGACTGCGTTCCTCGTGTGCCTCTGGAGCAAGCCGAATGTTTGTCTCTCATGGCCACTGAGCGCGTGCGCGTCAGAGCGTGTCAACGGCAGCTTAAGGTCACGGAAAGGTGTTCACTCTCTCTCTCTCTCTCTGTCCTAACTGGTCAGTCACCTGTCAAGGCCGGTTTACAAAAGACCTTATTGGGGCGACTGCCTATGCTTCCGCCCTCCCGGATTCGGCTCGCTCATGGCTGGACTGCACTGGTCAGAAAGTCAATTTCCTCTTACCAATACTCCACTTAATTAACCTATTCCTAACACTCTGGCCTCCCGCGTCTTATCTTATTATTTACTGGTTTACAGCTGGTGGGATAACTCTATCTTCTATTACCCGACCGGACTACTTCGTATCCCACATTTCACATCTTAAAAGTTTACCAGTTAAGGCGTCTAAATGCTGTCAGCTTCAGGCAGCTAGGAGGTTCTGCAGGTTACCTTTTTTAAAGCCACCTGACTCCCACCAGGAAATGCACACCCCAGCCTTTAGTTTTTGTGTCCTACCGCCAGTAGGTAACTTACTTTACTTTTTTGCTTCCGGTGGAGTCTGGCACGCTGTTGCTTAATTATCTGTCACTTTATTAGCAAAGAACTAACTAGAGGTAGGTAGAGGGAACCTCAACTTCAAATTAGCCGTTTTCTGTATAATTCCTTTTATATAAATATCAGTTCCGGCAACAGTAGTTTAAGTAGTGCACATCATAACCCCTAGTCCCAACCTTTTGTCCTAAGGAAACAGTGGTTATAGGGGTTTTATGGGTGGAAAATTAGGATAGGTAGTGGAAGATGATTTAATAACTGCTATATGCATTTTTATCTTATTTTACATAGAACTGTTGTTGATTTATATCTGCAGATTTTCTCAATGTGTATTAAAATTTAACGTATTGCGTAAAAATCCGATTTTCAAAATGCAGTTTCCTTGAAATTCCTGAAAAAAATAGAAATGGCAGTTAGGAGGTCGTCTACTTCAACTTACCTGAGGTCCAACTTACCGCTCTGGAAGCGAAGCGCCGGCCACACCTTCAAGTTACATGCGGAACAACTTACACCCAGCGGCCGCGGGAAAGAAATGGAACTACATTTTCCCCTTTCCACTTACTTCTGCAAATTTCCTTCGCTCCCTATCCTATTTCCGAACCCCAAAACCCTTATAGCCACCGTTTCTGTGGGAAAAAATGCTGGGACTAGGGCCATGTAAGGTGCGCTACTTAAAATACCTTTGCCCCAGTTTCGAAGGCCCAGTTACGCACTTTTAATATTCTCGATGTCCAATCATCGTCCTGTGTTCGTAACACCACTGCACTTCATTAGCTTTTACAAAATTTCAAATGGGAGTCCCGTTGGCGGTTGATGTCCATTTGGAGGCAAACATACACAGGGAACGTCACATTTATGTGGACAGATAAAGTATGCAATAGTTTACTTATAAGAGCGTCTGGAACTTGTGGAGACCTCCGTCATCGACTCTGGTCAAACCAGTTCAATAAACTAGCACCTGGTGATCCACGACTCGGCCGGGTTTTAGGCCGGCGAGGAGACTGCAACGAGTGCGCTCCAGTGAAACCTACTGAGGGCCAGTGGCATCGAGGGCAGTAGTATTAGAAATTGAATGATGCCTTTTGGAATTAAGGACACTGCAGCTATATCGAATACATAGATGGTTTAGTGGCATAGACGCGTACACCGATCTGTCAGAGGACCCACTCGTCCCCCCA